TGGATGTGAAGCTCATAAAATAAAGAATAACATTTAAGTGCATAGCTATTACAGACTCATTTGTTATTCATTTTAATTCCAATGACTATAATGAATATACTTTGCATTCAAACAGATGCCCCAAGTGCTTCTGAGGAAGTTCCAGTATAATTCAGCCTTAGTTACAGAATGATAAGTGGGTGTTTAAAATCAGACATTACCATGAAAGAGGAAGAAAACAATTATAGCAAGTGTTAGTTCCTTAAAACAACAAATTTAAGATTTTTATTAAATTCTCTTCTTCCTTATCCTGACTGATACAGAACCCAGTGCACAGAGAGCTTTGACAGGTTAGCCACTCGCGCACTTGTGTTCACTGTTCTACAATGGCTCACCTGGGCAGAAGAAAGGGGGACTGTGGGGGGGAAACTCTGTAGAGTAGGCAGAAATCCACTTTATGACATCTATGCATTGTTCCTTCAATTGGATTAAAAACAACTCCTTATTAGCGTGATTTAACTGAAAAAGCAGTCAGTTATGTATGCCCTATTTATTTTAGCTGGCCAGAGAATTCCTATTCCTCTACTCTTCCCCAACGTAAAGGACTAACAACTTAGATTTGAACAGGAGAGCCACACAGGTGATAGACAGTGTTTCCCGATGATGGTTCATAAAACTGGCTGGGAATGTTTGCTGAAGGCAGTCATTCCTAAATCCTGACCAAATCCCATCAAAACCTGTGTGGAGGGTCCTGGCCTCAGTATTATAATAAGTAGCCAGAAAACGTAGATGCTTGTTTTTGCTTAGAAAGAAGTGTCTGTGGGTTCATAAGGGAATATTTGAAGCTATGCCCTTTTATTCAAATGAGCAAACATGATCAAGAACAGACCCTGTTTGAATGAAAGAATGGTAGGGTATTTCAGCAGAAGAGGAGGCAGAAACAATATAAGAGCCAGAGGGGATTGAGGATACCAGAACAAGGCCCCCAAACTCAAATGAACAAAGCTCACATGAATTCACAGAGAGTGAAACAGCAGGCGCAGGGCCTACATGGGTTTAACAGTGGGTCCTGCTCACATACTTTATGGCTTTTGGTTTAGTGTTTTTATGGGGCTCCTGAGTGTGTGAATGAGAAATTGCCTGATCCTTGTGCCTGCTCCTGGGCTCTTTTCCTTCTCTTGCTTTGTCTTGTTCAACCTTGTTGTGACAGGTTTTGTTTTATCTTATTATATTTTATTTTGTTCAATATTTTTATTATCTCTCAGAAGCCTGTTCTTTCTAATAAGAGGCTTAAAGGGAGTGGATCCAGATGGGAGAAGAGGTAGGGAGGAACTGGGAGGAGGAGAGGGAGGGGAAACTGTTATCAGGAATGAGAAAAGAACATGTTTTTAATAAAAGTGGGAAATATGAGAGAATAATAGGGTGTTTAAAAAATGTCTGGTGTAGATGAAAATAATTTTCAAATAATGTTTTAGGTAAAATGACAACCTATAAATGTTTTAAAATACAATATTGGATTCTCTGAAAACATAAGTAAAATACTGTATTTATTGTGAAAGTTAGAAATTCACTCTTGAATTCCATCAAGTAGTTTTCCTGAAAAGGTTATGTGGAGTTCAAAGGGAAAAGTGTCTGCTTTATTTTAGAAAATGTAACTACACTCGGGAGGCAGAGGCAGCACTCAGGAGGCAGAGGCAGGTGGATCTCTGGGAGTTCGAGGCCAGCCTAGTTCTGGGACCGGCATCAAAGCTACAGAGAAACCCTGTCTTGAACCCCCCCCCCCCAAAAAAAAGAAAGAAAACGTAACTAACATCCTGTAAAAACACATTTATTGTCGAAGTTTTGTCCATGGCTGTGATAAGATCTCTAGACAAAATGCAATGTGATCAAAAAAAGATTTATTTGGCTGACAGTTCAAGGTTACAGGCCATCATTTCAGGGAAGGTAAGTAAGGAGCTTGAAGCAACTAGTTACATCCATCTACCATCAAGAGTTAGGAGTGATGAATTAACTCATACATGCTAGTGCTTAGCTCTCTACTTCTACACAGTTTAAGATCTCCTACCTAAGAAATGCTGCTACCATAGTGGGGGGCTCTTATTTTAAATAAGCAAACATTCAGTATTAACTCCCACAGAATAACCTGGTCTATATAACCTCTCATTGTACTCTCTCCTGCAGTGAGTCTAGATTGTTTCAAGATGACAGTTAAAATCTTCACATCTCTCTTATTTTTCCTAAGCTATGTGTATCATATGCTATATAAAGGAGAGTAATGGCTGTGTGACATTCCTTGTGGCTAAGAGAAAGTCATCAGTGGGGGAAAGAAGGAAGACTACTTATTACACCAAGAGGAATAAAGGTTAGTTGCCTTAAAAAGCCTTAGATCAGTTCTCTGGTACCTAAACTGTAAATCATTAGCATACATATTTGACGGTTCTAATGTGTTTTTAAAAATATTATTATACTTTAACTACTAGAAGAATTTGATAATGAAAATTTGACTGTACCAATGAAAATACCAAGGTTTCTATCTGATGAGCAATTTGTCCCACTTGTCTCCCATTCCAGGACTGGATACTAATTAACTGAAATCTGTGAACAGAGACTCTGTGAGGAGCACTCACTCATGAAACAGAAAAGCAAGCTGATGAGATTCATTAACAACTCTTTTCTGGCCTTGTTTTTTCCACAGTTGTTACCTAATGCTCACTAGCAATGGAAGCAGTATCCAGTAAAATTTTCTGTGAGCACTGAAGGGCAACAGAAACACCAGTTGGGCTGTGTATAACTCTCAAATTCTCAGAGTTGGTCTCCAGCCCATTCACATTTGACATCACCTGAGAACTCACCATCTACCTGCTAGAACTATCTAGCAAAGTGCCATAGGCAGGCAGGAAGTTGAGCAGTGGAAATATATTCCCTTGTTGTTCAGAAGAAAGAAAGCCTAAGTTCAAGGAACTGGTAGATTTAGTTTGGCATCCCAGGGTACCCTTGCCATGTCCATACATGGTAGTGAGAGAGAGGAGAGATAATAGAGGGGGACAAAAAACACAGAGACAGACAGACAGACAGGGAGAGAAAGTGTAAGGGAGAGGGAAAGGGACAGAAGGAAAGAGAGGTGGAGGACAGGGGAAGAGACAGAGAGATAGGAGAGAGAGAGAGAGAGAGAGAGAGAGAGAGAGAGAGAGAGATTTTTAATCTTCCTTAAGGCTAGCAGTCCTGTTGGGATTAGGATATCTGCATTCTGACTACATTTAACATTACTGTATACTAAAAGTCCTGTCTCCAAGTACAGCCACTTAAGGAACCAGTTCATTTAATGACACTCAAAACAAATGTGTACTCTCAACTTCATTTTAGATCCATCATATCAAAAATACAGAGAGTCGAGCCCGACCGGTTCTGCATTCCTAACTTCTGTGTGTTGTTCTCAAGCACACTTAGGCTCAGAAACACATAGACTCAGAAGGATAGGGTAGGGACTCAGTACACAGCAGAAGATTTACTTGCATCCAGGCCCATGTCCATACTCACTTCCCAACCCAGGGCTTCTGACCAACACCAGAAGGGCCATTTGTATGACATCCACTGCCATTCATTCTCCAACACCAACCTGGGAACTTCTTTCTGCTCTTTCAATGACGTTACTTCAACAGGCCAACCATTTCTGCCAAACAATATAAGCCCCAATTTTCTAAACCTATCACTTTATTATTTTCAGATTTTACTCTTGTAGAGTCCGTGGTTTACACTGTAAGCATACTAATAGCACAAGGCTTTGCACAGGATAAACACCCAAACACCCCAAATCATCTATTCACTTTGTTTCTAACTCTTTTCTAGATGCAGCTCCCAAAGAATGCTGGAGTGCTAGATCTAAACCAGTGTTGATTTAGGACATCACATATCCATCTAGTCTTGGACACAACGCAATGTTATAATGCTGCTTATTAATTGAAAACATACCATTCATGTCTTTAAATTCATAGACCCCCAAGCAGACATTCTTATCCTAATTGAAGAGAAAAAGAACATGGGAAACTGAAGCTGGAATATAAGATTTCCATAGTAGAACATGGTCACTACAGTCTGTGAGAGTTATATTACATCCTTGAAAATAGTTCTTGCCACAAAAAAGTAAAGTATTCATATGCAAATTAGCTTGATTTAGCCATTCTGCAATCATATTTCATGACAAATAGATAACGGTTTTACTTCCTGTATAAGACAAGCGAGTTCAAATTCAATGACTATCCCAAAGACACCTTTGGAAAACCTCAAGGGCAAACCTGAAAGCACTGTTCCCTCCACTCAATGCTCGTGCTCATTTTTGCCGTTGGGTGATGGACCAAAAGATCTCTGCCCACATCTTAAATTTAGTGTCATGTTCACATGCTAACACACAAAGCTTTCTTGCAGAGATGGTGTTTTCAGTATCACTTTGGGGGCTTCTTTATTCGAATTCCCCATCTTGTACAAACATATGCATGCACTCCTTCATACACACATACACTATATATTGCTAAAATAGACTGTCATGATAGGAAACTTCAGGGTGAGTTTCTTAAAACAGATACTGTTAAATGACAGCAAAGAGCCCTAAATTCTCTCACTGCTTTATACCAGATTTCCTGGCAGCCTTCAGAAGGCTTTCATCTTTACATTAAAGACACCAGAGTACCTCAGAGCATCACTTGAAAGCTCACAGGGAGCTCCGACAAACTTTTGCCCAAGGCAATTGCTTGATAAATGAACATTAACAGCACACCTTGGATATGTGCATAAAGCTGAAAAAATCCATAAACATAAAATAATGGAATTGCCTTTTAAAAACCATGCATTCCGAGCTTTCTTGTCCAGAAAACAATCCCAATGATTACATTGTACTTATTTACAGCCATTTGCACATTGAAGACGGGCTGGGCGGTAAGATAATAAGCCACACCTGTTGGATTGTTTAGGCAACTGCAAACACCAGCTGAGAGAGTAATTAAAAGTAATGTTGCATCGCATCCTACCTGGGGTGTTCAACAACCTGGACATCCTGCAGAAGTAGGAGACATACTGTTCACAGTATTCAGCGCTGCTGGTGATGGCACTGATCTGGTCCATGGAGGCACTGTAGATGAGCTGTGTCACCGAATACTTTTCTGGGCTGTAGCCTACCACTGTCGTCTGCATCTGTAAGTCGTGAGACACTATGGTCCACACCTTGTCCTCTGTGGGCAGAGAAATAATTAAGACAGCGGCTCATTAGGACCCCGGTACTTCAAATATCAGGAGAAAATTGAGCTGCATTTAGCTGCCATTTTCATTAAATTGGTATAAACCTGAGTTAGAGAGAGAAGTCCTGACGGTATTTTAGTGTGTGTGTGTGTGTGTGTGTGTGCATGTGTGTGTTGTATGCACCTGTGTATGTGTGTGCATGCCTGCAAGTGCAGAAGAGAAGCATGCTGTGTGTTTTCTCAATCATTTCCTAATACAATTTTTTAAAATGCATTTGTAGTATAGACACATTTAGACAATGAGATGTGGCTACTTTTGTTTCTTCTCTTTTATCTCTTAATTGCAGTGAACTCACAAATAAAAAATGTCTCTCTGATAGATTAAGAAAGTCACTCAAACTCTTGCCCCTTCCTGAACTCTGTGCATCTGAATGGACTTCTATTTAGAATAGCCTCTCTGAAACAGGGGAACTTTGCTTAGTGTTTTATACTTTCATTTTAAATGGCATTTTTATCAAAAAAATGGGAAAAATCTACAGCTGAATTGATGCTAGAAAAGCAATCAGCTTTGTGTCCTTTGTCTGCATTTTGTCCCTCCTCGTCACCAAATGTTACTTTTCCTAGACAATTTTTCTAAGTATTATACTATTCCCACACTTATATCTGTTTACATACATACATGGACACACTACAGTTCGGGATCCACTTGCATGAGAACAAGAGTATTTTTTTTCTTTTTCTTCTTGAGTTTCTGTGACCCTGCTTAATATCATACACCCCAAAACCACCTATTTCCCTGAAAACTTCTTTTCATTTACAGCTATTCCACTTTACATATTTATATTTACATTACCTCTCCTTACTTTGAGATGGGGTCTTGTAGTAGGAGCTGCAGTGGGCTGTGTTCTGCCCAGCTCTGCACAGCTAGCTTTACCGGAAATAATTACACAGAAACTGTATTCTTTTTTTTTTAATATTTATTTATTTATTATGTATACAATATTCTGTCTGTATGCATGAAGGCCAGAAGAGGGCGCCAGACCTCTTTACAGATGGTTGTGAGCCACCATGTGGTTGCTGGGAATTGAACTCAGTACCTTTGGAAGAGCAGGCAATGCTCTTAACCACTGAGCCATCTCTCCAGCCCTTTAAACACTGCTTGGCACGTCAGTTTTAACCTCTTATTGGCTAGCTCTTACATATTGATCTAACCCATTTCTAATATTCTGTGTAGCACCACGAGCTGGCTTACCAGGAAAGATCTTAACCTGCGTCTGTCTGGAGTGGGAGAATCATGGCGACTGACTGACTCAGCTTCTTTCTCCCAGCATTCTGTTCTGTCTACTCTGCCTACCTAATTTTCTGTCCTATCAGGGCCAAACAGTTTTCTTTATTAATTAACCAAGGAAAGCAACAGATAAATACAAGACCCACCTCCATCAGGGTCTATTACTGAATAGGAAGCTGACAGTTTTGACAGGGTTGACCAGCTAGCACACTCCAGGGATCTGCCCATTTGTATGCCCTATGCCCAGTGTTTGGACTTGCTAGGACATATAGCCATCCCTATCTTTTATATGGGTGTTGGCGCTTTGAACTCAGGCCCTCTTCCTTTCACTACAATTTCTCTTAGCTTAAGAGCTATCTTCCTTGTGCTATCTCTTCTTGTCTTGGATCTATGTTCTGTTTATAAGAACAAAAAAATAATATTTTATTAAAATAATGAAAGACTTTTCACTAACAGAAAGAAATACTGTTCCTGGTTGTGACTTTGACATCAGCCAGCAGTTCCAGTGTGAATCTCATTGTAATTACTATTCCATCCTGATTTTGGAATCTACCTCTTGCCTTTTGGTAACTCAATTGTCTCTCTTTCTGATGTGACCTCTGCCCCATCAAATCACAGCCCTTCTTGAAAGCTGTTTGCTCTTTACAGAATGTGCATCTTCCTTGTCTTGTGAGCAAATGCTCTTTCACACTGGCCTTTCTGGCAAATGAGACCCTCCCTTTTCTGATTCTGTACAGTGTGGAGTGAGGTGAGAGAAAAATTACCATTGTGTTTGAGAACCTGTGAGTCTCAAAGAAGGAAAAGTAGAATCGATTATAAGCTTTATAAAATTAAATTAACTCAAACTCCTTCACCACTTGAATTTTAATTGAAAATATCAGTATGAGCCTAAGACAATATCTTTGTTTTGAAATGTTGACCTATGCTTGAACTTAGTACAACAACAACAAAAAAATCTCCAGAACAAGATGATAGGCCTAATACCAAGTGCCAACCGTAAATACTCTTTGCCATTAAGAGAAGAGATTAGGATTCTTAAAGAAATGACTGCTTCCTGGACTAGAAATAAACATGTTGAAAGGAGAGGCAGGGGCAACCCATCATTCCAGAAAGGAATATGTCAATGGACCCTGAGGCAGTTCAAAAATGATCCTGTAAGAAAGTAGGCATGGTGTACGTGCCTGTAACGCTAGAGCTGTGGGGAGCAGAGAAATATTACTGTTACTTGCTGCTATCAGCCAAGTTTCAGGTTCAGGGAGATTTCCTGTCTCAAGACATGTCAGGACAGTCAGTGTTCTCCTCTGACATACATATGCACAACACACACACACACACACTTAAAACTGAGTAGCTAAATTTGGTATAGATAAAGGCAATTAGAATAATGAAAGTAAAGTCTAAAGCATTATTCTCTCTCTCTCTCTCTCTCTCTCTATATATATATATATATATATATATTGAGTCTGTAATTAAAGCTGGCATTAGACATATTTGAGAAATTATTTATCCATACTATGAAAATAAAATTTAACCCATATTGCTAACATTACATAAAAACCTATTTCAGTTGGGTTAACGTCTTAAAAGAAATGCAGACATTCAGATAAACTTAAGGAGACTTAAAAGAATATTTATATTATTTTTAAGCAGAGCAAAAACTGAGGGCATTATCATGGCAGAACACATACATGTGAGTTTGTTAAACCTAAACTATCTTCTTTATAGAAATATGAGATCATGTGAAAAGTTAAGCCATGGATTATAGGAGATATTTATAAAACATAGATCTAACAAAGATCAGTATCTAGCTGTACTAGTCTTTGTCTTTGGGGCCTCCAATCAACTCCCAAATCATGACAGGGACTTATTAATTCTGAATGCTAGGCCTAACTTAGGCTTGTTTCTGGCTAGGTCTTTTAACCAAACCTATTTCTCCTTATCTATATTTTGCCTCAGGGCTTATTACCTTTCTTACATATGTATATCTTACTTTCACCTCTCTGTCTGTCATCCACCTTTTTTTTTTTTTTTTTGGCCTTCGGACATGTCCCTTAATTTTTCCTTTTTCTTTCATTCTTCTTCCTTCGTTGGAGCCTAGATTTCTCTTCCTTTTTATTCCTCCTGTCTGCCAGTCCCTCCTAGTCTTTCTCCTGCCTAGCTGTTGGCTGTTCTGCTCTTTATTAGACCATTCAGGTGCCTTAGGCAGGCAAGATGAAACAAATGCAATACATCTTTTTATGATTAAACAAATGCAGCATAAACAAAATTAACACACCTTTATATAGTTAAAGTAATATTCTGCAGCATAAATAAATCTAACACATCTTTTCTTAGTTAAAGTAATAATCTACGAGAGCTAGCTACATTAAAAAAGAAAAAGAAAGCTCAACTGAAAAAATCTGGGAAATACAAATTTAAACTATAGTGATTTTATTTTGTGTTTATCTGACTGGCAAGGCAAAAATGTTTGTTCTTCAGTCAGAATGGCTACCAATATCAATTAAACAAATGACAACACATACTGGCAAGGGTTCTGGGAAAGGCTAACACTTACTGCTGATGGTGGGAGTGTAAACTGGTTTAGATATTGTGGAAATCAGTGTGGATGTTCTTCAAATAGCTGAAAATAGTTCTGCAGTAAGACCCAGTTATATCACTTTGGGGCGTATACCCAAGGGGCTTTCATGCTATTGCAGAGACACTTGCTCATCCGTCTTTCCTGATGCTCTATTCATGACAGCCAGAAACTGGAAACATCAAAGATGACCATGAGGTGACAACTGGACAGTTAGAATATTTACATATTAGAATATTATTCAGCTATAAAGAAAAAAATGAACTAACGAAATTTGCAGATAAATGAATAGAGCTAAAAACAATTGTCCTGAATGAGATAACCCAGATCCAGAAAGACAAATTTTGTTTTCTCTTATGTGTGGATGCTTGCTATGCTTTAGATATGGATATTTCATTTAGAATAACCACAGTCATTAGGTAACTAGGAAAGGATCTTGGATGATGGGATCTTCCAAGGAAAGGGGTACCGAATAGAGTGTTATAAAGAGATAAAAGGAAAAACAAGAATAGGTGGATTAAATAAGGAGGGTGGGGCAGGCTAAAGTAGTGAATATGCTGAGGAATAGCTAATCCTAAATGTCTTTTGAAAAGTCATATGAAATTCTATTACTATAGAATATTCCTATATACATATATATACATATTTACATAAAATATAATTGCATATGTAATAATATGTGCATTATTATGTAATAATATATACATTATATTACTATTACATATGTATTATATGTAATAATGTGTATATAATTTAAATGGAATCACCATAAAATGAGGGTGTTAATGCCCAATTAGACATCTTTATGCCATTAAACAAAATTTCCAGGGATGGATTACATCTTGTTGAGTTGTTGGCCAAAGTGATCCCATAGTTCCTCTACAAACATCAAGGACTATCATCAATGCTAATAATTACCACCCACAAACCTGTTAGTAAGGCCCCATTGCGGAAGACATTGTACCTTATAGCATAGAATATGGTGAAATTGAGCTGATTCCCAAGTAGAAGCTTCAGCCATACTGATTAGTGTATAGTAGTGGTAGGATATACTATATATGCTGCAAGAGTAGAATGTAATCATCAATCTCATGAAACCTTTGAGCTATAATGATGACCTAACTGGTACTA